TCATCATCATCATCATCATTGGAGCGACACACAGGTTGGAGTATTCTCGGTTGCATTTAATGGCAACATCAGCTTAAAGATTTGGTTCAAACCACCAAATGGAGACGGGCGTGCCGACAAGCGGACCCTGCTGATGCAGGATTAATGCTAGGATGAGAGATTGTAATCAATTAGCTGATGATAACCCAATGAATCTCAATCTATTCTTACGACTGAAACAGGGGGAAAAAAGGGCACTATATAAGTGTAAGGAATTATTATTATTATTCTTTACTCAATACTGAATTTTAATATACTAAATTTTGGTACTGAAAATATTTCCCAATGCTACATCATATGAAGATCACTGAAACAAAGAGGCTAATAGCTGTGAATAAGAAAAAAGGCCTATTACACACTTACATTTAGAAGCCTAACAATTAAATCTTTTTATGGCTCTAGATGTAATATACGTAGACAATTTGTAGTAGGTCTTTTTGTTTTCTGTTTTCAGAACAAAGTCACAAACGTTTTAATATCATGCAAAAGGATACAGTATTTAAAAATAATTATTAAAATTAATCTGGGAAAAGAAGTAATTTTTACTTCATATCCAAGTACTTCAAGTAGTCCAAAACATCACAGTATGCACCTGGCTGTAAACTAGTATCTACATTTTCCCTGACAGTGCTCCTTTTGAAGTGCACATCTGAATGTTGTTTAATGGCTTTGGAGGGGAGTCCCCATTAGCTGCAAAGTGCTTTGAGTGGAGTGTCCAGAAAAGTGCTACATAAGTGTAAGGATTTAATAATAATAATAACTTGTCTATTGACTTATACATTTAGATTCTGTGCATGACTTGCAGAATACTCCTTATATTTTCCCATCAGTAACCTGTAGGACTCTTTCTTCAATCCATCAGAATCCCAGTCTAATCCAATCACCATACTCTCATTTTACACTAGGCCTTTTTAAAAAAAGGGTTCGTTAAAGGTCCTCATACAAGAATTATTATTCAGCAAAAAAATGCTACTATCATATGAGTTTGAGTTCCAACATGACAAGGAATTCAAATAGCAGTAACACGAACTGCATGAAGAAAGCGGACAAAAAAGGTCAGATGTATTCTTTTCCACAAGAGTCCAAACAGGGTAACAAAGTAACAAAAGACAACGATAGTACAGATTTACCCAAATCCTTTATTGCTTGAAAACTATTTCTACAGTATACTTTTTCATGCCCTAAATTTTAAACTTTCAAAAAATCTTTTCTGGGACAAAGAACAAACTACTTCAAAAACTAGGAGATCAGCACAAATTTTACAATAAATACAGTATCAGGGTTATTGTTCCTCTTTGTTTGCTTTTTGTGGAACAGTCTGCTTCCAATGAGTATTTCCTATCATCCTCAAGGTGCTGTAAAAACAAGAGCACTAATTGAAAAGTGCTGAATAACAGACTAGAAGTGTCAACAGCATACAATACGGCTCAAAAGTGATTTAGTGGTCAGGGTTTAATTAATGTGAGGTGTTTTGTATACAGTACCCAAGCATTATGGTGCCATTCACTGTAATGTGTGGTGTGGATCAAATTAATATTTATTTACTTGGCAAGAGTTTAACTAGGCATAAATTTCTAAAAAGAGACATGTCTGTTAAATTGTATGGTCAGCAAGTCCTTCTAACATTAAAATCCCAATAAAAATAATTTTAAAATATCTCAATTTCAATAACGATGAAATCCATACAAATATTTAAGAAGAAAGAATGACTATTTTTCCCAGTACTGTCGGTTTTTCAATAGGCTACTACCATTTACATTGCAGAAAGTACAAGAAAGATTATCTTATTGAAAAACATTGAAAAAAAGTGAAGAATCAGTAAAACGCTCATTTATAAAATTCATAGGTACGAATCTTCTCAAAATAAAATAAAACAATATTCGATGCCGAAAAACAAAATATATACTATTAAAATTAAACATATCATAAATAAGATTGGGTAGCATGAATGGCACAGTGGTCAAAATAGCTGTCTTGCAGCGCTGGGGACCTGGGGTGGTATCTGGGTTGAGTTTGTACAGTACGGTGTTCGGGTGGGTTTCCTCTGGGTGCTCTGGCTTCCTCTAACAGTCCAAAGACATGCTGGGAGGTTAGCTGGCTTCTGTAAAAACTGGCCCTGGTGTGAGCGTGTGCATGTCTGTGTCTGTGTGTGCCTTGTGACGGACCGGCATCCCGTCCAGGGTGTGTCCTGCCTTGCTAGGACAGACTCCAGGCCACCGTGACCCTGAACTGGATAAATGGTTACTGTAAATGTGCTGATAAAAAAGCTCTCTTTAAAAATGTCTTAAGACTTTTTTTTTACAATTTAAAACACTGAATCCTTAATAGACCTAGGAAGGGGAGTTCCCAGGGTGTGAGGGCTATAAAACTACAACAGAAGACATGACCTCCAATGGTATGCTGTAGTTTGGTCCTTGTATTGTAAGAAACTGTAAGGTGGTCATTTAGAAACAAAATTTCTAAGTTAACCCTTCTGCAAAATGCACCAAATATAGGACAAATGCCCCAGTCACTTCATGTAGTTCTAGGATATATATCTGTAACATAAGCAGATATGTGGAAGAAACGCTTCACCTTGACTTTAAAGAAAATTCATAGAGACTTTATTCATTTATAAAATAATTATCACCATCACCACCGATGTTTACCATGTTAATTGTTCCAGATGAATATTTGATTTTACTCACGGGGACATATAATTCTACACCCTGTATAATGAGCACCATAAATGTGGATGGAATCGGAATGGAATCCCAATTCTTGCTCACATTTACAAGCTGAATAAAACTTGTTTTGTCTAAAGAAAATAAAACATCTTTCACAGTTACTTTTTTATTGCAGACCTTATTTTATTTTCCACTACAACAGAAAAACATTAAGGTTTAAGGGGCAGAAAGAGCCTATTGAGAAAAATCATGCATTAAAATCTCAAACTGCTTGTCAGATTTCTAAATGAACAGTGTATTCTAAACGAACGCTTTTGTGCCCAGAAAACGTTTGCCATTGTTGTACCTGAATTGGTGACAGGAAAGCAAATAAATACAACAGTTAAGGCTGATGAATTTTATGAATCATCATTTGGTGCGAGCCATGTATTGTATACATCCCCAGTCCTACAAAAACAACCTATGAATGCGTTTTACCATCCATCATCAAGACTACACGATTGACTACTGCTGAGAAAACTATTTTAATAATTGCTAAGCAACTGTGTGCATGTTTGAATATCCACTTAGTAAGCACTTTTCTTCTGTTAGACCATGTTAGGACAACTAGTATTAATACTACGAACTGGGGTTATCAGGATGACTGTGTTATCACCTTAGTATCTTACAGCTCACCACAGTCACACTATGGATAATAATTACATACAAAATAATTATCTTCAAAAACTTCACAACTGGTTTCAAGTGGGTCAGAATAATGACAAATCTTCCGATTGAAAACTTGATGTTGCGGGCTTGTTTAGAAATTGCTTATTTCTAAACAAGCCTTGGTTATGTACTGGATAATCTTAAAGCCCACAACTATCCATCCAACATTTTGCAACCAATAATCTGAAAACTTATTGTCACCAGACAGAACAATGTTCTAACCCCTCAAAGGCAGGGATATACTGCCATTGCTGCATGCACACATTAGACTTTAGACACGTGTCTCACCTTGACATCAGTGACCCCCTGTTACATCCCATCCAATTAATATTCCTGTGGTGATAATTTTCTCTGCCTACTGATCTGATAAACTGCACCAAGCACTGATTTTGGCCAAAGAACCTTCAAGGAGTGCTAAAATAATTTCACTGAACGTTTTTATTATGGGCTTTGTGTTAAGTTTGAATTAATACTTAAAAATTTAAGGAACAGAAAGAACAGCAAGCATAAATCTTTAATAAAAAACAAAGATTGACCTGTTAACTAAAAAAATGACAGTACTTTGGACAGATTTCTAAATAAAATGAATATTAAGAATTCTTAATAAAATATTAAGGAGAGATGCATGCAATCCCCTCAATCAGGATTGATTTTTTCCTATATTATTTCTAATACTCCTAACAATTTCAACACAAATAACTTACAAATATTCAATTCGCTTTTTCTCACATTTCTCAAGTCTGTTAAAGGCGTTATCCTCATGTATTTCCGTAATTATCAGCATATATATATGATGACAGGACATTCGTGTGACATTTTCCGTAAAGCCTGCAATAATAGTTAAGCATACTTTTCCTCCACTTTTAAAGACGCCTAACACTTATAAAGCACCATGCATCTTACTTCATTTTTACTGAGCTTTTCAACGAAAAGAAAAATACGAATTGACAATCTAATCATTTTCGGAATCACATTATAGAGGAAGTGCATGAATTCCCCCATGTTGTCTTAATAGTGAGCAAAATGTTTAAACCTACAGTATGCACGGTTTGTTTACTGGCGAAGTTGTGATTTATTCGGCTCAGTCCTCAGGCTACAACGAAATTGAACTGCCGAAAGCGTCTGATTGCTAGCTTTCGAGACCATCCATATTCTCTCACACATATGCAAGTTATGCACGAGTCTGAGGTTTTTGTTTTGGTACATCACCGGTAAGTAGTTTTCACTTCATGAAACAGCTTAGTTTGGACAGCGCCTCCATTGTGTGCAAACAAGTGCACTGTCTGTTCATGATGCGTCACTACTGTACATTAAAAAAAACACCGTGGTTCTGATTTAAGCACTGCAATGCCCTTTTAGTGATCTTTTCAATCATACGACAAAGTTCTTTTTTCAAACTTATCTGAATCAGTACATACATTCCTACCCCCCCCAGAAAACAAAAAGAACACGCAACTCCGCTCATCTGCGTCCTATCCTCAAGGTTTACATTGTATTCTTTTTAATCAACAAGCGTGTTCATTTCCAAACAGCACGGTATTTAAACTCGCTCAGCATTGCAGTTCCTGCTTGCATCTAACGGCTTACCGGTGAAAATTGTGTGGTCCTGCTCTTTAGGCTGTAATCCGGCTGATTTGCTTCCCGGTTTGTGGCTTCACTCTTGTCTCCACGTCCACTCGGAGAAGGGGATTGGGGTCATCCAGGGGTCAAAAGGAAATACACAACACCCCCCCCCTTTTCTTTGTGCGTGTAACTTCTACAGCTCATGCACCTGTTGTAAATCCCTCCCAGACAGAGACCACCGAGAAACTGCTAGGACTGCATCTGTCAGTTCTCACAATAGGTTTTAGGGTCCTTTGGATCCCATTTGTATTTTTTATAAGATGCACCTCTTGGGTAATTCTATGGCCTAAATAATAAGAAGACGACTTAATTATTTGACCTAATTTAAAACTGTAATTAACACAGATATACAGTGTAAGTGTTAATGAAAAATGAAAGCTTTCCTATGTTAGTTTTTATTGCATAGAAGAAAATTATGACAGCAAACAGCACATGATGATGGATTCTTGTTTTGATTTATAACACTTTATTTTACTGGAATTAAATTGCTGGTATTACTTTAGAAGTTTAATGATACATTTGCTCTTTATAATATATTTTCAGCTTTTTTATTTCAGAAACTTGGTACAAAAAAAACAGCCGTGGGTAATGTTTACTCAGTCATTGCCACCATCATGTCATGATAGTCATATTACTCTCGTTAAAAATTATTAATAAAAAAACATAATATTTTTCCATGTATTATACTTCTTTACCACTAAACAAATGTGGGTGTATAATTTAAGGGTTTAAACCACAATTTAATTATTATCAAAGTATAGAGATTTTGGTCAGTGAAGATGTTAATGGGAATAAGCTTACTGCTATACACTTAAGTAATACTGTACATAATGGTACATAAAGTTAAGGCCTATGGTGACACTAATAGATATGGTATAGTACATTACTACAGGTGGGTAGTTTCTGCCTACCTCCCTCTCCAACAGGACCCTACCACTGACTATCAAAAGGAAGTGGTATCCACCATCTCCCTTCTTATCAGCAGTAAGGAAGCTCCACCAGGAGGCGAACAGGCTCATCATTGAACATCCCAAGGTATCTCAATTTTACCTCCTCCCCAAAATCCCAAAAAAGGACACCCCTGGATGCCCCAGTGTATCAGCATGCAACTGTCTGACTACTTAAGTCTCAGCCTTTCTCGACAGCCTCATGAGACCACTGGTTGAAGGTCTTCCCTCATACATCAAGGACACCAACCACGCGCTCCAACTTTTTAATGATTTCCAATTCCAGAGCCCCAAATGCTACATTTTCACCATGGACATCACATCTCTTTACACCATCATTCCCCATAATGACAGTCTTACAGCCCTTAAGCACACGCTGGACAAATGCACAGTGCTTGATCCACCAACCCTAATCCTTGTATGCCTTTCAGAATTGGTTCTCACACTGAATATCCTTTTTTTCCAACAGGTTAGTGGAGTTACCATGGGCACCAGAATGGGACCCAGCTATGCCAATATTTTTGTCGGCTGGGTAGAAGAACGCTTCCTACACTGGCTTTGTCCCTGACCTCTACAAGTGATACATTGATGACTGCATTGGTGCCGCCACATGCTCTAATGACCAGGCTGAGCACTTTCTGTATCACTTCAACAACTTCCACCCGTCCCTTAGATACACAGTTAACATATCTTCCACTACTATTCCATTTCTAGACATCAAATTCTCCATCAACTACCCCCAATTCTCTACTCCAGTCTATTATAAACCCAATGATTCCAACAACTATCTGCTGTATAGCTAATTTCATTCCAAACACACTAAAAACTCTCTCGCTTTTCTATGTTCCTTCAGCTACGACAACTCTGCAGCAACGACATTGATTTACAGAACCAAGTCTTCTAAACGTACTCTTTTTTCATCAACAGTGGATATTCTAACAGTGTAATGGACAGGTCCCATGCCCGAGCCAAAAACACCCCTCGGACCATCAACCCGAGCAGGAACTCCCGCCGTAACAACTACATTCCTTTTGTGCTTCCCTACCACCCTGACACACTTCCTATCCCCAGGAATATTAGCGACAACTTTTCCATCCTACAGGATGATCCCTCCATTGAGGCCCTCTTTTCTAACCATCCCATCATCTCATATCACTGATCGCCTGATTTTCATAACCTTGTTCACAGCTCCCTTTACCGCCCTCAGCAACCATCCACACCAGGCACTTTCCCTTGCAACAGAGCTCGCTGTATCACCTGCAAGTACATATCCAACACCACAATCATTCAAGGCCCGTCAGGACGATTCCGGATCACTCAGATGACATCTTGTACAGTACCTCCAGCAACCTTATTTACTGTATATCTTGCAGTAAATGCCCAGCCATCTACATTGGGGAAATATGTTAGGGTTGTGAAGATTAAAGATTTCTCCAAGCCTATTGTTTTTTATTTCACCTCTGACGGCCATGATCACACTAAACTCTCTGTGTTCTCAAAGATGGTTTTCTTAACTAAGACTACAGAAACTAAAATTATCCTGCCGCTAGGATCACACCTTTCCCCTTCTCTCAACAACACTCATTTTCTTCTAAATTCTCTCTATTCATTGTAGGTTTCATTTCACACCTCTCTTCACCTATCCTGACTTCACACTACCTGATTAGCCACTCCATCTGTCCACTGCTACCGCCTCTCACTTCTCCTCTCTCCTAGCTTTTGTTCTCCTATCCTACATTACCTTTGCTTACTGCCCTGTCTTTCTCACACCTGAAGAAGGCACAACAGCCAAAACATTTTTTCTCTTTTCAGCACGGAATAAACCTATTACTGTTCCTAGTACAATACTTTACATGATAATCTCTATCATTTTTAATAAACCCAAAGAATGAGCATATTGCTCACAATCATGGTATAAGATCGATAGTGCCACAATATGTACGGTACAGTATGTAACATACAGGCAACTTTATTCAGTGTGGCCTTTAGGAAAACACTAGAGAAGTGAGGCTACAAAGCAGTGTGTCAGTTGGATGTCTTTGCGATGCCAGCTCAAAGTAGCCAAGTTCAGTCAGCCTCAGCTGTCCCAAATCATAATCTTTCCTGACATCTTTTGCTCACATTACACAATTAAAAATAATTTCTGTAGCCCTTCTCTCTTTTGCATTCGTCTTTTGCATCCCTCCTCCACCCCATCTCCATCTTTGCATCTGCCCTTTGGTCAATCCTCACTCCTTATCGGGCAGAGCCGTGGCACTGTGGCTAAGGATTGGCACCTATGGCTGGAAGGTTGCCAGTTCAAATCCTGCTGCTGACAGATGAATCTTACTTCATTGGGCCCCTGAGCAAAGCCCTTAACCCCTGTTGCACCAGGGGTGCTGTATAAATGGCTGACCCTGCACCCTGACCCCAAGCTTCTCTCCCTGTCTGTGTGTCTCATGGAGAGCAGGCTGGGATATGCAAAAAGAAATTCCTAATGCAAGAAATTGTATATGGCTGTAGTGGCAAGGCTTATTAAAAATACAGGAATTAAGTTTGCTGCTCCCTTGCCAGTCTGTCTCTCCCTCATCTCAGTGGTGCTGGATACAGAGAGGCCATTCCATTTGGTTCACATTTAAGGGTTTTTTTCTAGCTGATAGAGTTTCCTGATAAGGAACAACTCCCAAGGCTGAGATTCACCAGTCAACCTAATAAATGGTAATCTCTGGCGCCTTACAGTCTGGGAGATACCTTGGGAGAATCGCATCCCAGGTTGTTTACAACCCTAATGTCAAAGATCATGGTTACTCATCCTCCACCTCGATCAGCCAATCAGGAACTTGTAGGGCAGGGCAACCCCACGTGGGTCTCAAATGCCCGCGAAACATTCAACCAATGAACGAATGTAGTTCAGCCAGATAAAACAGGCAGCACAAGGCCCAGAAAGTGGCTCCTCCAGGACATTCTCAGACTCATCTTGGACAATCACGTAAAGGCCAGTGGGTCCGAGTGCCGGGACTTTATGATGTTCTAAGAGTCAATAATGGAGGTCACCCGCGCGTAACCAAAGGATCTGCCCAGCAGCAAGCCTCATGAACCACTGGTACCCACCACGAACGCTCGCCTGATCAACGAGTGAACTACGGTTGGAACTGTCGACAGCTGAATATCAGTATTCAGGACTAGTGCTACATCGGGAATGAACCAGTCATCTTCCCGTCTAAAGGGTGTGACTTGCTTGGACCCGCAGTCACTTTTCTTGTGCACAATCTATGCTAGTTAAGCCAGTACTGACTAGCCGGTCTTCAGAGAGCCCTCTGCCAGCGCGTCGCAGCAGGAATCTGTCCCTCCTTCTCACCCACCTCATGCCGAACCAGGACTGCCTGGCACCAGGCCAGAGGACGCTGATTGGATGCAGCAACAGATTGGATGAGTATTCAACATTCTGCATTACAGCTCGAGAATTCAATTGTTACCTCAACCTGAGTTGATATCAGTTTAATTCCTATGAATGATGTACTTGCCTCTGAGTATCTAGTGTACAGTTGTAATCAAAGTTCATTTCTGAAACGGTATAAATGAATGGTATACTGAATGTATGTCCCTCTTGGTTTGTAACTCTTCGTGATTGAATATACTGTATACCTTTTGTATTCTGCTAACCCTCACTCTTAAGATCTGTGATGTTACAGTATATGCACATTTTATGTATTAATAAATGTATTCTCGTCTGTGAGTATCTGTGTGTGTGCGTTGCTGAGCTGTCCCGTAAGGTCAGTTTTCTAATAGCCATCAAAGAATCATTTTGTGACTTACTGATACAATTGATAATTGTCCCAGTAAATGCACAAAACCCCTACATGGCCAATAAAGTGATCTTATCTTATGGGAGTCCTAGTCTCCTCTTCCTACTGCCAGGAGGTTGGGACTCACCCAAGTTGGTAAGATCAAATTGACTATGATTAAACCGCTCAATAAATATTTTCAGCACACTTAGGTATTGTTATTCCTAGTGAATTATAATTTTTAAGACTAAGTTCCCCCAAGTACTTAAGCTTTCATGTATCTTTATTTATAAAGATATGATTTCATTACAAAATCACCTTCCTTTTCTCACATCTAGTAGTAGGAGCATAATAACCAATCACCAAGCATACTTGAAGAGTGTCCATGTTACTCTATATTTCTGCATGTTTCAATTTTATTACACATCCTGTTGAGTTTCTATTGTAGATCATTATATAACTGAACCTGACAATTAGTCAGTATCATCTCTATGACCCACTGATGAAATCT